AGGTAAACAGGAAGTACACACAGGTAAACAGGAAGTACACACAGGTATACAGGAAGTACACACAGTTTTACAGGAAGTACACATAGTTTTACAGGAAGTACATACAGTTATACAGGAAGTACACACAGGTAAACAGGAAGTATACACAGGTATACAGGAAGTACACACAGGTATACAGGAAGTACACACAGGTAAACAGGAAGTACACACAGGTAAACAGGAAGTACACACAGTTTTACAGGAAGTACACACAGTTATACAGGAAGTACACACAGGTAAACAGGAAGTATACACAGGTATACAGGAAGTACACACAGGTATACAGGAAATACACACAGGTATACAGGAAGTACATACAGATATGAGAATGTGCCTCGAGCCGTGTGTGCAGCTGGTTTTTATTCTGTAATCATTTCAACTGAGCTCACAGACTCGGAGCCGTTCTTGGAGCGACTGCTGCACGCAGCCGCTCTCTCTGCTAACCCAAACATATGGTTCATGGGCAGAGTTAACTTTACCCCAATTGGACAGTTTGACTGAGTTGAAGTTTGTTTGTTTTTTGGCTGCGGTGGCCATTTTGAACGGGGTTCACCTCAAAATTCAGTCACTTATAAATGTTCAAGTAATTCATTTTATCATAGTCAGAGCCATCCAGTGGTCGGTGAGATATTTTACTAACAGACAGAAAAAGTTGTCTAACAGTTAATGACAAGCTCTTCCTCAATCCGTTTGTGCTCAGAGTATGAGTTCTGGATACTCCTCAGCTACTACCACATCAACGTTTAGCTCCTAAATCTTTCTGGAGTTCGTCTCAAATCCACCTCAGTGTTTTTACAAGTCAGAAAGAAATGTTCGGACCATGGTCTGTGAAACTACCGTAAAATGTCTGACTGACTGAAGGAAAAAAGTATAATTCGGGATCAAACCGAGACAAAATGACGACACATGTGACTAAGATTTTAAAATATTGCATGTCTGCAGGATTAAAGTGAGCGCATCACAACCTGCGCTGAACGAATCAGAAGAACTCCGAGTTAAAAAGGTCTTTTTCTCCACAGTCCCGTCTCCATTTCGTTGCCAACAGTTGCAGATGTTAGTTTTTTTGCAGCTAATTGTATTTTTGCAGTTAGTTTCTGTTGTGTGACACTCCTCGATCAGCCTTCCTGCAGAAACAACTGCTTCAAACGTTTAACACGTTTCACTTTGTGTTTAAAATGAGTCAGTTGACGAGTAAAATGGAAAATCAAGTCACAACAACAAAATCTAAAAGGAAAACAGAAACAAAACGACGTGTTTAAAACACATCGTCTGTACAGAAAGGCTGCGTCTCAGGTTGCTTAGACCAGTGTGTGTGTGTGTGTGTGTGTGTGTGTGTGTGTGTGTGTGTGTGTGCAGGTCAGTGGATTGAGTTAAACCAGT